ATCTCCTGGAGCTGTCATATGGCAACTGTCCCATTACGCAAGTCCTGATAAATCTGGCATGGCTTGCACATTTAAACTTTGAGCGTGAACAGAGGAGGATCTCATCACCTTTAAGGTCCCTTCTAGCTTCAAAAATCTATGGAAAAATACAGGATCTATGCACCAGCAGGAAAAAAATGTATGCCTGTACAGAAGTGATAAGGATATTTAGACATGCAATCTTTATTAGCTCTGACACTGTTCCACATGACATTCCCGTAAGATCCAGCTAAGAAAACATGAATTAGATGTAATCACCATAAAATGGCTGCTTGACAACATAATTCTTGGGGCGTAATTATCAAGGGTTTGCTGTCTAATTGGAAGGGCACTGGAAAGCGGGTCCAGCCAGGCACAAGAGCTGTGCAATATTTTCTTTACCAATATGCATGACAGACTGGAATGTATGGCCACAAACCCAACAGATGATTCAGCTGGGAGGATTTGCAAGCACTATGGTGTGCAGGTTTAGATTTCCAAATGCTCTTGACACACCAGTCCAACATCAACAAGAGGAAATACTTCAGAAAGAGAACTCACAGGTACAAACGCAAAAATAGGGAGCAACTTCCTATGCAGAAAGACTCCAGAAAAGGCCCTGGCATTTTAAGAGGATCAAGGTACGATGGAGAGGTTCAACGATGTCCCACAGGTACATAAAGGCAAACCTCAGCCTGCAGTGCTGACCCGTGGAAAGCACTTAGCTATACCTCGCAAAGTCTTGCCCTTAGCTGCTCACTGCTGTGCAGCTAAGACGCTTTTTGTAAAAGCAGACTGAAGAGAACCTTGTGGAGGACAACAAAATTAAAAAACACCAGGTATGAGATTAAGCTGGAACCCTTTTAGCCAGACATATTCCTAAGAACAGACTAGTCCAGGCAGGCAGGCAGGCCACAGCCTGAAGGAAACCTCCTTCCTACATCCAGCCAGGAGAATTCAGAGTTTAGCTCTTGTGAGTTTAACGCTCTGGCTTTAATCTCTGTTTAAAAACAAGCTAATGGCCATCAGTGTGGATGGGAAGAACAAGAGTCCATGGGCTTTTCAACAACGAAGAAGAGTGGGGGATCTAATTTCTATCTTCAACTACCTAACTGGGGGGTTACAGAGAAGATGGAGCCAGACTCTTCTCAATGAAAATGAACAAAAGGACATGAAACAATGGGCATAAGTTGCAGCAAGGGAAATTCTGATCAGGCGAGAGGAAAATATTCCTCACCATGAGAGCAATAAGCATGGCATCAACTCGCCCCTCTTGACTGGGAAAGGTCCAAAACTTGATCAGAAAAGTTGACAAGAAACCTACCTTTGATTCTGGCCTTGCTTGGAGCAGGAGGTCAAACAAGAGAGCTCCAGATGTCCTATGAAATCTAAATTACTCTTCAGTTCTGAGATATCATTATGAACAACACTGAACAAGGGATTTTGCCCAGCAGCCTACAGCACTCTACACCTGTTCAGTGATAACAAGTACTTTAGACTCAAAAGCCGTCAATAAAATACCTTCCACATGACTAAAGATCCCTGTATCTGTAATTAAGGGAGAAAACGAGTACGAAAGAAAACACTAGAGCTTTCACTGCCATTTGAAACAGAACAAGAGAAACTGGAGACTCACATTATACAAGTTATCATACAAAAGCTCTGCAAGAAAACTGTGAGGAATTCAAAGAAGATACGTGCTGATAGTTCAAACAAAATCAAGACTGCTCCTCCCTACCTGCTCTTCCCACCACAGTAAACATAAGTCGACGCCAAGAGGTGTTTCAGACCTGTCCAGACCAGCCTTCATTTTGGAGTTCGCTTCTTCAGCTGTCTCAGGACAAAGGCTCTCTGTATGTAGACATACCTTTCACACACACTTCCTACTCTCTCCCACTGAAAGGTATAAGAGGTGTTAATAAATCTAGAGAAATGCCTGCAACAATATACACAGACAAGTTTTTTCTTTTTTTTTTATTCTCCAACATAAAGTGAAGCACTCCACAGAGTGAAGCACTTAGATACAGTTAAAATGAAACTGCCACCTTCCTTTACGTATGCTGTAAAATGAACTTCCTAAAACCTGAGAAAATAGATGCAACTATGACGTACAAGAAGGTCAATGAAGGCAAACTACAGTGTTTTGTGTAATGTGTACATCTGCCCACCTGGAAGCAGCAAGACCCGAATTCATTTCACCCAGATGGACAAGCAGCCCTTGGATATCTGTTTCTGTAAAACGACAGCCATTTGGGATAATTTTCCTAAAATTATAACAATCGAACAACAATCCCCTTCAAGCAAATGGCTAATTGTTCCTTTAATGCCGGCTGGCACGTTACCCAGTTTACCTTTGTAAGTAATGTTTCTCCTGCTTATCCACTGCATTTCTTGTCATGCTTTACGCTTGAGTACTACTCTCCTCTTAGAATAATCTTGACAGCCACGTTTTACCGGCTTTGGAAATGCATGAATAACTGTATCCTTCACAGAAATGAAGATGTAGTACGTACAACCTCAGTTGTGCAGAGCGTAACCAGTGCAGGGAGGGAGGATAGAACTACAACTGGGAGGTCAGATCAAGCAAGCACAATTGCCCAAGCTGCCATCGAGCTAGTCACAGGGAAAGCCTTGGTGAGAGCACCTGGAGAGGACTTTCACCTTACAACGGGGAGGCTCTATTCTGGAACAGTCGGTGCAGATCGATAGCACATTCCTGTGGAAAAGATGGCACTTGAGGTAGAAGAGCACATGCCCTGCTTTTATAGCGGGTAAAGACACAAAGCCGCAAGGAAACCTTCCATGACAAAACACTTTATCTGTGCTGCCGTCAGAAAAAAAAATGCATCCATCATAGGCCAAAGTCTAAATATGAGAGTCATAAAATTGTGTCTTGTCAACTCAGCACAGGCAGGTGCCAGACGGGGCACTGCAGGCATGTTTTGGGCCCTGCAGCTGAAGAAGGACGTGGCCCAGGCATTCCCAAAGTCCGCTGCAGAGGACGGAACAGCTCGCTCTGTACAGTAACAAAAGGGCAAGAGGTCAGCAATTTTCAACTGCAGCACGAGAAATGGAAGTCAGAGACCAGGAAAATCTTGGTAATGGTAAGAACAATGAAGGACTTCAACGGATCACCCAGGGAGGATGGGGAAAGTCCATCACTGGAGGCTTTTAACAACTGTGCTGGACAAACATCTGCTGGGAAAGTTTAGATAGATCTGACCCAGTCTTGGGGCAGGAGGTCAGATTTTAGACAACTTATTAAGGTCCCTTCCGGCCCTGCTGTTCTTTGCTTTTAACAGAAATATGACAACAGAACTTAGCAGCAGCAGCCCCAGAGCACGCGAGCTTCCCTAATATTTCCATAACACGGCAGAGAAATGCTGTGAGGTCCTGCGTGCAGCAGTTGCCCATTCCCACATGGTAACTTCTCCCTCTGTTTCTGGAGGAGCGATACAGAGAGAACACCAACAGTCGGTCTTACAGAACAGGCGTGTGAACGGGAGCTCCCCAGCGCAGCCTTCCCGATGCGACGTCCCAGAGCACGGGGGTGGTTGTTAACAGGAGCCCACCTGCACTTTTTCTCCCATTTTGCCTCCTTCACATCTCACCCTGCAGTCAGAGAAGCTCTCCTTTTTTTTTTTTTCCCCCCCTTAAGCCATTCTTCTGTTCCTCCCTGGAATATTTTCATGTGTAAGATCTTCAGGACTGGATCCCTTTCATGTTTTGGGGAAGTCCTGAGCAAAATGTCTGTGCTTCTAACAACAAAAAAAGCTTGCAGGTCGTCTGCTTAGCATTACAGACTCTCATCTTCCCTCCGGCACTGCCTGTCCCTCTGCTCAGCTGGGAGCCTGGCATGAGAAATCCCACCTGCATAAATTCTTCATGCAGAAACGCCTAGTTAGTGCTGACCTTGCTGTCATCCCCAAGATCTGCAACCTTCAGTGCTTCCTGCCAGCTTAAGCTTCAGCTACTGAGAGCAAAGCTGACTTTATGTAGTGGTCTCATCAAAACTTTGGATCCCCACATAATGCTCCACTGTGCCACGCAGGGAGCCCACCCCAATGGTCCTGGATCCCACCCCAAGGGAATCAGGGGACAAAAAGGGTAATGACCCAGTGCGTAACTCTGAAGCTCGTGGTCACACTCAGCCCTTTGTCAAGTTCTCTTCAAAATCCAAATAAAGGCACCAGATGCTATTGTGTAACCAGAGCAATGGTGTGAGCTCCCCATGATTATAAAGGGGACATTTAATTTAGTCTACTACATTACTGGAAGCACTGTGCTTCTGCAAGCATTAATTAACAGCACATAGTGTTCTGTGAGATCAGTCCATCCAAGCAGCAGGGTGTAAAACTGCAAGCCCCAAAGTACTAACCTTTATCTCAGGGTTAAAGCTTGACCTATCAGCTTCAGCAGCATGGGAGTTTTAGGAGCTTTTGCTTCCTTGCATGCCCCTCCCAACTCCTCCCGGCTCATTCTTGCAAATGCAAAGCCAGTCTCCAAGCTCTTAGCCGTGTCTGTCCATGGAAGCACACAGGGAGTGAGATGACAGAAGTGATCCGAGGCAGAAATACCCGCTCGTGCGTGCGTTTGTGAGTACACCCCAGCACATCCAAGGGCACAGTTTTGCAATCCCAGGAAACTTAGATCTCAGTTTGCACTGTCCTTAAGGACGGTCCTGACTGCCTGTGTAGTGCTGACAGCAGCAGTCATGCGACAAGCCAGGGATCAGATCCAACTGAAAAATAACCCTATAAAAATAAGTAATAATCTGCTGCCAGGTGTGCGGCCTCCCGGACCAAGATCTCTCACCCACAGTCACACCAGAACATACAGAAGAATAGGACTGACCCTTCCACAAGAAGTAGTGCCTTAAATTTGTGTAAGTCACCCGTAAGACTATGCCCTGCTGGGGGTGGAGAACAGTTACACAAGGGAGGAAACAAGCAGTCGGAGATAGGACAGCACGGTGGAAGTACCTTAATGCAGTTTCACTGCTGAAGCCAGTGACTTACAAAACGACACTCCTTCCAGCGACCCAGACTTTCCGACAGGGTCGGTGATTTTTAGGAGTTCAACCAAAGGATTACCAGACACACGTCTTCCTGGCAGAGTCCTCTGGGATCACAACTGTGACCGATTCCAAAAAAGAAAATGCCGTTAGAAAGACTGGAGATCAAAGCAGGAGGTTACACCTACATCCTGGAACATGCATGCCCATGGGACAGAAGAATTTTAAATTCAGTTTCAGACTAAATGTCTGTCTGTCCAACAGAATCATTAGGTTAGCAGACTTGAATGTTACACCTGCACAATCTCTTTGGGAGAAAAACCATTCCCCACCTGCCCTGCAAAATGAATTAAACTGAGCAAAGCCCTTATAAAGGAAGAGAAACTGCTCCTTTCCTATGTAATTCCCAGCTTAGCAATAGGCCAGGTTTACCTGCTTAGCACAAGGTATTTTCTGGATACATTAGCTACAAGGTAGCTTGAGTAGGTATTTTTCTCTCCTCGAAGTGCACAAACATCATCAGATCCTGTCCAATATTTCAGTTGTTCCAAACATGCCAGCAACCTATGCTGTTAAATGCCACTCAGCTAAATTTAGAAGACACACTTAAGAAAAAAAAAAATATTTAAAAACTGGGCATTATGCAGAACAATGAACGATAAAGAAATGAATAAATAACTATCCATTCTTTAGACATAATTTACCTCCATTTAGTTCTGTACTTCGTCAGCCAGGAAAACAAATATTTTCTTATTTCTTAAAAGGTAGTTCCTGCCTTTGAACTCAGTAGGTACAAAAAAAAAAAAAAAGAAAAAATAGACTTTAATGAAATTTTCAAGCCATTATAAAGATTCTGCAGTCCTTTAAAGACCTGTTGGATAAAAGAAATACAAGGAACCAAACCTGAAGATTCCCCACAAGCTGAAATCATCTTTATTTACACCATTTCAGCTCTCTGGGCTCCCCACAGCTGAGAATCTGCCTCGCTTACTGTGACCTCCAGTCCATCACTGATCTGCTCCGTGGCCTCCAGCTTTCTCCCTATTCTCCTCCTGTTCTCAGAAGCGAGATGAACGTGGTGTGGATGACGCGGAAAACGGCTCAGAAGGAGGAATGTGCGGCAACCAAAGCCCTGTGTAAATCACTACTCCAGGGCTGCAAAAATCTGTTTCCCTCAGACCCAGCGAGCTCTCAGCCCCCATCGTTTTGAGTTATCTGAGAGCACAAACAACAGCCGTCTTGTTTTACCCAGGCTTGCAGAAAACCTTAAAGGATAGCCTGGTAGCAGAGAACTACCCTGAAATAGCTCAAGGGATCCCACGCCAGTGTGAACAGCAGGGAGGGGCTTTGTGACCCCTCCTGCACTTCATGCCCGCTGATAAGCTTATCTCACTGTCTTCAGAGCAACCCAGGCCTTGCTCAGTGCCAAAACACTCCCATCCTTACAACCTCACTTCCCCGGCCCCAAGGTGTCCCAAAAAAACCCTCTGGTGACCACAAAAAAAAAAACCCAAAATTGCACTTAAAACCAAGGACGCAATTAAAATTCACCAAAGCAGCACCACTTCTTACAAATCCACCGCATTTAAAGATCTCCAGAGGAAAAGGTCACCAATATGTACAGTGCATCTCCCAAAGCAAAGGTCTGTGTCACGCCGCTGTCAGGTTGTCATAAAAACCCTGCGTGCTGCGTTAGCAGCCGGGGCAGGCAGCGTAGGGCTGCTGCTCGAATCCTCACCACCTACACCATTCCTCCAGCCTGCAGTCCAATCCCTACCCCAGGGTGCTGGCTCAGGTACCCAAAGCCTTTTCTTCCCATACGATGAGTAAAGAACACATCCAACTCACGGTGGCACAGCTGTATATTTTGGTAATGTGATGGACACGCTCTGGTCAGGTGAAGGACAGTGCCATCGACTCCATAAAGAACATGAGTCTTGCACAGGCAAAGAGCACAACCACTAAAACACCAACGGGTGACATCCAACATAAGAAAAGACCCTAAAGTGTCAAGTTTAGCCTCAGGAGGCTTTCTTACAGGCTACAGTGGATGCTCAGAAGGTAAAGGGAGGAGCTGAACCCCACAGGCTCCCCAAAATATGTTCAGAACTGTATACAGACACAAACACGGGACCTCAAACTCAGGTTCTTACGAAGCCACTTCCCAGAGCAGAGACACACATCAGATGAAATAGCCGCTCCGCATCAACATGCTCTCCAGGTGCCACGACACACATGGTGCTAACTGGAGTCGCCATGAAGTTTTCTTTTCCAAGTAGTTCATATTCCCACCCACAGCATTTCTGGAATTTATTCTTAAAAAAAAAAAAGAAACACAGAAACATTAGATTTCAAAAAAAAAAGCAAAGATTTGTAACTAATTTCCATGGTGACTTCTGTAAAGTCAGGTGATATTACTGTGAGTACACCCACGTGCCCCCTGCATGGAGCATGGAATACTGGGACACCTCAAAGCCAACACATCAGCAAGAGCAGATGAAAACAGGACACATCATCAAGGTGGCTGAAAATGTCCATGTTCCCTCAACAGGAACACGACAAGGATGACCACATGTTCTGGGAACACCACAACGTGTTGCGACGCCGGTTGTTAAACGGTTCACTTCTTAGGAGTACGTACCACAAGGAATCGGGTGCACTCGTTGTTTTATGTTTATGCTTCTATCCCCTTGTCGCAGACCTCTTTAGCACACTTGGTGTGCAAAGATTGGAACGGCAGCTCCCACCAGCCAGGAGAGAGCACCGTGCTCACCAGCCGTGCTGGGTTACAAGCGCTCTCCCACGTTACCGCTGTGCTACAGATTGATTTTTGCACCCAAGCAGAGCAGGACAGATCCTTAAGCCAGACGGTTTAGATGCTCTCTTCAGAAGGCAGAGTTCAAAATCCATTCTTCATCCTCTTCATTTCCAAGAGGTGATCTTTACTTTATTATTTACCACTCTGACACAATGTTTTAGCTCACCAACAGAGCTAAAAAACCCAGTTATTTAATTTCCATAGACTTGACTTCATTAATTTCTGGAGAGGACTAATGTTTGTGGCCACTGGGAAAGGGTATTTCTACATTTTTCCATTTTCTGGTCTGTTAATTACAGTTACTGAGAGAAGGAGACAGCAGTTAGATTTGTGAAATACAACAGGCTGCATTTTAATATTTGTCAAAGGCACAGAGAAAATAATTACTATTTCTTTTTTATATAACCCAACCATACAAAGTAAATCTACATACTTCAGAAGTTAGCATCGCCATTCTCCCTAGACCCTCATTCGGGCCAGCAGGAAATTAGTTGGGAGAATCTTAAATGTCATTAGGAGGGATTATTTTTCTGTGGGAGGGCGGTCACAGAAATCATGAAGCAATACAGCTGGGGCTGAGAGGACAGGCAGCTACACTCCTGTAGTAGGCAGAAGGACTACGCTACAGGCAGGAATATCCCTCCAAGCTTCTGAAGCAGAGGTGGGGACAGTCCACTACCTTTGGATGGAGGACTGAGAAAACCCCAAATCATGCTACTTGGCTAAGGAGGAGACCAGTCAAAGAGCACCATCACGCCTTTTAGATCAAAGGGTACTGTAGGGAGCCCGTAAACCATAGGTATCCTTCTTCTTGTGAGGAATGTTAGCAATTTCACAGCGCTTCCCAAACCCTATCTCAACCTCTCCATCCCCATCAAGTCAACTGAGACTCCCCACCCCAGGAAAAGCCTGTGTTTCAGAGACATCACAGTTAACTTGTGACAGCACTCAAACTCTTTTTTGGTGGAAAAGACACAAGAGAGAGAAAGGCTTTCAGGTGAAAACCAGAGAGGGCTATCCAGGAATGCTTCCAGCAACAACGGAGATGGGGACAGGGGCTCCCAGGACATGTGCAGTGTCTTCGTGACGTTCCAGACACACTCTGACACTTCAAGAAATCATGGCACAAAATGGGACAGCTCAAGAGCAGCTGCTTCACCGAGCCAGAGGACTGAGAAGGATAAACTGAAGCAGGGTCAGTTTAGACTAGATGTAAGGAAAAAATTCTTTAAAATGAGGGTGGTGAAACACTGGCAGGGGTTGCCCAGAGAGGGGGTGGAGGCCCCATCCCTGGGAACATTCCAGGCCAGGTTGGACGGGGCTGTGAGCAACCTGATCTGGTTGGAGATGTTCCTGCTCCCTGCAGGGGGATTGGACTGGGTGACCTCTAGGGGTCCCTTCCAACCCAAAACATACTATGATTCTATGATAAATGATCAGAGCGCCCCACATCAGCCAGCATGGTCAGGACTTGAAGACCCAGACCTCCACACCTACTTCCACATATAGTTTGGCCATAATACCAGCTAGTTGCTCCTCTAAACCCAAAGATGCCCAGGTAAACATTTAAGCAGCTATGCTAGGATTTGGATGCAGGCACTGAGTCAGACCTAAGACCACTGGCGTTTTGCCAGCTCAGTAGTCATCTGAATCTGTTTCCCAGTCCAGCTCCCCACTCCACAACCGGGGTACGAGGGAAAGACAGTACTGCCTTTTTTAGAGGCAAAGCCAGCTGAAATTACGGACGTTGCTACTCACTGAAAAACACCGTACATCTGTTCCACAGCAGTGCCGTAAAAGATTAGTAAGTGCTGGGCTGACAATCTGGAAAGGGAAAAGGACCTAGGAGAGCAAAATGCTGTCACTGAGTCAATAAAACAACATTTGTAAAAGACCGAAAACACACAGCATTCTTGCACAACGCACAGAAATGCTCCGAGGCTGATTTCTCACCCTCCACTAAACCTGCCTGGTAACTCCGGGAACAGGACTGTGTCATGCAGGCGAAGGGAAAAGTGGATCAACAGGGTGAGCTGAGGACAGAGCTCTGGACTCGGCTCTATTTCTGCAGGATCACCGAGTGGACGCGCATTAGCCGATACATATGGTTTCACTTTTACGTAAAGCTCATGTTTACATCTAATGTATCAGGGCAATTACAGCTGGCCCCAGCACTGGATTGGAAACAGAGCGCCTACACACCACGAAAAGGATTTTTAGGGGTGATGAGAGAGCCAGGATGAAGCGGAGCAGCTGTATTTCTGGGGCTGAGGATGTAAATTGCTAAAAAGCTTTGGTTTGAGGTCAGGTTCGGTAACTGGCTTTGTGCATTTCGCTACTGCGCGTCGGGGACTAATCCCTCATCCACCGCAGCGATTTAAAAGACGGAGCAATTCTGCAGAAGTCAATGGATTTGACTGAAAACACGAGATCCGTGCGAACTGCCAAGCCCCCGGTTATTGTAACAGCTTTGTGTAAACACGAGACACCAAAACGCAAATGAACTGCAAGCCTTCACAGCTCGTAATTTACATCCCGCCTCACACCACAGATGATGGTCTTTCCTACTTAACCTTTATTCCTCGTGTCATCGCCTGAAACGCTGAGGC